CCATCCCCAAACCCCTTTGCGCTGGTCTCGGCCATTAGCTTTGAGTTGACGCCAGCTGGTCGAAACGAGAAGCTGAGGAACAGCAGGTAAGTGGCCAGCTTGCACGGGAGGTTGCTGGTTTGGAGAAAATTTTGTGGTGTTTTTTTTTCTTTCTTAAGGATTGTAATGAATTTTATCTAGTTTTGAAACCATATGTTTGACTTTCTTCGATTTTCAGTTTACTTGTGTAATTTTGTTTGGGAATGTATATTATAATACAACGTTAAAATTGGGCGTAACTTGCGTATTTTGATACAAAATTTGAGGTCTCTACTAAAACCATATAATATAGAGAGTTTTCGAAATAAATGAAATTTGTTATAGGTATACCAAATATTCTTTAATTTTTTATTCTCTTCAAACGATAAATGTGACTGAATAAAGGAGTCAAAAGTTTTTGATTTAATGTAAGAAGTCTTGAATGCTAAAATTTGCCGAAGAGAATAATTCTCTAGATTTTTATTTTCATTTTTAAATTAGTCTATCAAAGTTCTCATTGTAAGGTGCATCATATAAACATATTGAAATTTTTGAGGTGTGCAATCGCATGCCATTGTGTGGATTGTTAAATGACTAGGATTTTGCTAACCTACCAAGAAATTGGCACCCTTCGGAATGCTGGCATTTTATAGATTGCCATCCTGTAAAGCATGGCTGGCTGGAGACTTACAATAAGAGCAGAGGTTTCAGAAATATTAGTTATTAGAAGAGTCGCGTACTTGGTATTTGGTTTTTTAGTTCCTTGCGGTGTGAATGTTAGAAATGGCTTTATGTCAATTATTTACGGTATATACCAATGTTTACAGCAGTTGAAAAACATTAACATACAAATTACAAATTGCCTTAAGTCATAGTTTTTACTGTTTTTGACTGAATAAATCTAAATCTATGTAATTGTTAATAAGAATTCTTGGTATTGTTAAACGCGTACTTTAGTTGCAGAGTGAATCATCATAGTATTATTTGTTAGATGCAAAAACTGAAATACTGCTCTGACGCGTACATTTCTCATTTGGACCGCGAGCAAAATTCCAATGAATCATTAAATGGCAAAATGTATCTGCGTACTCGCCATTCGATACATGCGCATAGAATCATTTTTTATATGCTTTCAGTATAGATATGATCTTCAAAATAACTTTGTGCTAATATTATTCAGTCAAAAAGGAACTTAACTTCTGAGCTTGACTCGAGTTGCATACAATAGGTTAGCGGTAGCAAATCTTCGGGTTACGTAGCGTATTTTCGCGTTGAATTCTTTGGACAGGCTCGAGCTTTCATTACTCGCTTAGACCGAAGGATGAAGCCTCGACATAAACTTTGAACATTGTAGCGAAGCGTCAACGGCGCCTTAATTGTCCAGACAAAAGTAATTCGAAATACAGCGTTTGAAATACGCGTTGGACCGATTTGATAAGTTAATAGTGTACGCCGAAGGTCTTAGTTTTCAAATTGGACACGCGTGGAAAAGGGTCAGCTGCCTTGGTTTAATATAAAAGCGCAGTTTTGCTTGTGGATCTGTGTTTTACGAAACTTTTTTCGTGAAAGTGAGCAGACGCCAATACAAAGTTTACTATAATTGCAGATGACCTTAAACCATTGTTACACCCGTTTTATAACATGAATATTTTTAATGAATTCCCAAACGTCCTTCTCAACGGGTCTCGTGGCCTGGGAAGTGCTTAAGTGGTAAAGTTCCTCTTTATAACGCAAGAGGTGCAAGAATGACTAGTCATCGCCCACTACAGAAAATCGAAGTAACGTTCTAAGAGGAGAGAGAAAAGCTAAATAGTTAAATCTCATTTTAAACGATCGTTTAATTCTAAATTAACTTCAGTGGATTCATACGGGAAATGGAAATCAATGCGTAATTGAGTGTTCAAAATACAAAAATTAATCCTTCTCTAATTTGATAATCAACTGAATTGTGGGGATGGGGGGTAATGAGAAAGGAGATAAATTATTTTCAAAACTAAATTAAGTTTGTCTGAAGCCAGGGAGATTAGCTCTCAAGGGTTTTACGATTAAATGTGCGTTGGTTAATTACAAATGTTTCCATCACATTTGTGTATCAACATACTAGTTTTAATTCCAATGGTACGAAAACTAAGGCTAATTTTTAATTAAATAAAAATCTTTATTTTATGGTTTGCGTAAATTTGTGGTTAGAGTACACGGCACATATTTATGACGAGCAAGCGTAGTGAGGAGAGGTTAATTTAGTAATAAAAATTTAAAAATACCAAATACTTGTAGTGAAGCGAGTGAAAAATGACTATCCATGTATTAACACTTAGTTACTCGCCCTAGGTTTGTCACTAAAATACCCACGCCGCGTACTTTGTACACAAAGTGAATTTTGTTATAAAAATAAGCAAAATATGCAAGGCCAGAATAATATTTGGATAGAATTTTTTCTTGGAAACTAATACTTATTACAATTTTAATTTAATAATAAATGTAGTATATTAGTCTTCGGAAGAACGTTTGCATTTGATGACTTTTAGAATGTTCTTTACTTGAAATATTGTTGCAAAAGTGAAGTAATTATAGTAGTGGCTTTTTGTATCTGCTGCAAATATGACGGTGATTTCGTAATTTAGTTGATTACTCTTGATAATCATTGTTTTTTAATATCCTAACAGTTTTGTATCTTTGTAACCTCGTCTTCGCCAATGAAAATCTCTTCTCTAAATAGCAGCTAGAATAATCGCTAGAATAATAAAACACAACTTGTCATATTCACTTTTGGCATCGCAAATTTCGTCTTGACGATTCCTCGTGCAATAATTCAAATATGCTTTTCCGCTAAATTATCCATCTGGATCGTTCCTAACGTAAAATAAAATAAATTGCTTAAATAAGTGAAAATAATTGTGATCATAAAAAATCACATTGATACCCGCGCGGCCTAGAAAGTACACTAACGAACAGATTCAAACTGAAATAGTGTAGCCACTGCAGTAAATCTTACGCCACTGAGTATCGAGGAGGATGCAGTTGAATGACTTCTGCGAGGTCAAATGTCAGAACGCGCGCTGTTATCGGATACCTACGGCGATAAGTTCCTGTGCAGTACAAAGAATGCCAGCGCGAGTAACTAAAGGTTAAAATCAATTTGTTTGAACCCTCTATCTAAAATACTTTCTAGTCAATTGTTTGAAAATGTGCTATAACTTCAACATTTAACTTGTTATTAATTAGTAGAATAGGCAAACGGGACGTCTTTCAATGATTGAGCATAAAAATTGCAAGTGCTCGTATGAAAAGCTTCCGCAGAAATTGGTGTAAAATCAGCTGACATATCCGCCATAGACTGCCTCATGCTTTGAAATCTTACAGAATTGCAAGCGCGTTAGTCTCCTGCAACGCGGTAAGAGAACGGTCATCTTTTCTTTAGCTGCTGTCAATCAAACGCAGTGGCAATGAAACGGCCACTCGCCACGCCTCGACGAGCACACGGTCGCAGGTATGGTTCCTCACCCTCCTTAGACAAGTAACGTGAAGTGGCCAACAAGAATGGTAGAATAAAGGTTTTACGGTTAAATAAGGAACTTAAGTTTAGGAAAAACAGCTAAGTTATTGTTGCGACATTCTTGCGTAGTAAGTTAAGGGTGTGCTTGTGATTACCTAAGGGTACAACCCGCAATTATCTAGCCTTCAATGTCTTTAATATATTAAAATGGTTTGGCCCAAACCATTTTCTTACCGATTAAGGAACAATAAGAACATCCACTGTTGGATAATGCAACGAATTCTATAAGATGGTAATTTTGAAAGCAGTGTTATAGTCAATGACTCCACTCTTCTGAAAGATTTACAAATACGCCAATAGGCGCTGGATTTTGAAGAGATCCATGGCAACAAATTACTTCCAACGATATCTGAATAATTTCGCAGGCTTGCTGCCTTAATGCCAGGAACACAAACTGCCCACTACGAATACTAGCAATGAAAATCTTCATACGTGCAGCTTAATTATACGACCCTGCTCTTCAGTGAAAATTTTCAGATTCGCGAGTATTAAACATGAAACAACTCTTCCGATGAAGTCAAAGATAATTTCTAAAATCTGATGTAAACATCAGCCCTTTTCAGGATGAAATACTCCCTCAAAAAAGTGTTTGAATGCAGAAGTCGCCGATGAGGACTGCACATGTAACTTGCTTTGTATACGCTATATAATTAATATTACACCGTTTGGCCATAGTTCACTTACACATTTATAAACAAACAATTGTGAATAGACATAATCATGTTATATAGTTTTAATTTTACGTCAACCGTAGTTAACTGCGCGACGTTTCGAGAATGTAAATATTTATGTAATTCTGTGTTTTCATTCATTTTGTTTGCTTATGGTGTCTTGCAAGAGTAAGATGGATTTGGGCAGTTCGGCTTAAGGTAGAGCAAGCCAGGACGGGGTACAATATAGGCAGAATTCATCCCTTTTGCTATGTAAATGTGTAAACACTTGGGCAAGTAAAATTGAATTAGGTTGACCATTTGCATCGTAAATCGTGTAGTGCAACGGGGATGTGGGCTAACAGTTGGCAGATAAAACTTAACATAGGTTTTGCATTTATATTGCGGTGTTCCGTTCACAAATTTCCTTCGTATTCTTCACGTAATTACACGAAGAAATAATGTAATTAAGAATAAAACGGAGGTGACTTCCTTTATTTCCTGACTGTGAATAAGAGTTCATGTAACTCGCAAAAGCAATTTTGACAGTATCGATTATCATTACATACCTCGCAAGTCCTATCCTTGGATAGTCCGGAGAAGGGTTCTTCCCTTCTGCTCGTAAAGACTCATCCCTCTTAGTGTTTTACACGATAATGTTTCATTTTCAAATTAAATTTAGAGGTATGGTATAAAAATATAAACGAAGTATTTTAAATTTTTTAAAACTTGGCGGTATTGAAAAGTGTTAATATCAAATTTTCTTCTGGCAGGTGGTGAGACGATCAAAATTGCCTTAGTTTTGTTGCAGTTTACGTTGAGCTGGGCTGAGCGTTGCCGAATCGAGAAAGTCAATCCGAACAAAGCCAAGCCATGGGAAACGCTCAGGCATGTGAAGGGCGCAGTTTGGTGCACAAAGAAGAGTGGCTGCAGAAGCGTCGTCGCCGCAGTCTGCTGGAGATCGAGGAGCCTCTGGCACCTTCCCTATCCCCACCCCCACCCACAGCCGCCGCACCGCCCGCCCAGCACCTGCCCCCCGGAGAGGCGTCACCGCCCTTTATGCCGCTGGAGACCCAGGTAGAGAGATGTTTATAAGGGACCGCTTTGATAGCTTCTGCTTGGCTACTTAACAATACTGCTGTCCGTGCAATCAAGTAGTCAAAGCTTTCATATAAGTTCTCATTAGGAAACGGTTTTCATCACATCTTTCAGTGGCATCGCTCTACACGACATTAGTTTCCTGACCCGTTAGAGCAGCTCCTACACCAACGCATCCTGCATGAGAACTCGAATTGAGTTTTCAAGGATTTCCCCAAAAGTTCCCTTGGATTACGATGCATGCCTTTCACTTCTTTTACACAGAATCTGTTCTGTCCTTAGGCACCCAAAAGTGTTTAGGGAGCATGGCCGTAATTTTTTTGTTCCTCAGATTCTGATATTTTTGGAACTTTTTTAGGCTTGGTACAGGATTTTGCTTCGGATTCTAATTATACTTACGGATTATAATTTTTCTTCTAAAGGCACAAATTGGACCTTTCTAAGAAAAGCCCCAATTTAATCTCCCAACATTGAGTTTCTCCTATCCGTCTGTATGTAATTAGTGGCAGTTTGGTGCTTACCTTCTCGAGATTTTTCTCCCAAATTTTTTTTAATTTGACAGTTTCTGTGTTTAAACGAAAGTTTTTCATGAAGTTTCACTTAATCGGAAAATCAGACAGCTGAGCGCTTCACAACTATCACGGAGAAAAAACCTTAAATTTCGGAAACAATTCATTTACTTTTCAGCATTTTCTTGCGACTCCTACTAATAGAGCTAAGGTATTAGTTCTGATACCTTGGCTTTTACGATCGTAACATCTGTTGGGAGTAACTTGTCTTGAACAGTTAATTTTCTTTTAATCTAATTTTATTTCGGAAAAAAAAAGGTTTGTCTGGCACTCCTATAGCGCATATTGGTCTTTAGATAATTTGACACGGTTTCCAATGACTTTAGGTGTTGGAGCGCCCTTAGACTTTAGGTGTTGGAGCGCCCTTAGACTTTAGGTGTTGGAGC